CTAGTCATAGGATTGGTTCGGGCCCATGAGAACTTTTTATCAGGAAGTCAAGGTCTAACACGTATCAAAATTTTATTGAGTTTGACAGAAAACCAGTGTTGCTAGAATTGAAGGATTTCCTTCAATATGAAGGGTTTTGATCTAAAATTTTGACTACTGAAGGATTGAAGGATTTTATCCGAATTTGAAGGATTTTGAGGCAAATTGTATATTTAGCAAATATTCCAATCCAAGAAACTTAATTTTCATTAAAATGAATTAATAGTAGCATGAGAAAAAATACAGAACGCCAATTTTCGCTACGCCACTGCATCAGTTAGTGTGCTGTGTTGTCTGTCGATTTTAATCTTATAATCCAAAGGAATGTGAGCTGATGGCTCCCTACATTAGAACGCCAATGGTTACCTGACGTCACACCTGTTTTTGCCATATAAAACACCCCCCGCTCCTCATACGAAAAGTGTCAGTTTAGAAACGACGGACTTAACAGTGAGTGTGCTGTAACTCAGGGCCGTAGCTAGAGTCAAATTTAAGATAGGGCATGACAAATTCGACATAGGGCATACATAACGTGACCATACGTCCCGTTTCAACAGGACCTTTCCTTATTTCGGCTCTCCGTCCCGGTGTCCCCGAGAAACACTGCGGGACGCAAAATTGTCCCGTTTTCCCAAACTCCACGGAAAAAAATAATAATAATGGCGTAACAAAACATAATATCAGAGTCGTATGTCATATTATATGCTTAAATTTCACTTCAGTGTGTCTGTGTCTATTCTCGAAACCGGCGAACACTGAAAAGCGTTCTCACGAGAACGATTGTGCTGTCTTTGTCAGTGTTATGAATATATAAATATGGGCGACTAAGGCAGAACCTTCATTCTGATGAGAACTCTGCTCCCGGTTTCGAGAATAGACACCCAGTCAGGACTAGAGTGTTCGCTCAATGGCTCACCTGGTTCTCGAACGCACCAGTAGAAACGGTCTTTTTTTTTATGAAGAAACTGTGGATGACAGAAAAAACCCAGTTACAGGTCTCGGTTCTTGAGGCAATGTTGATATCAATATAGTGAAATTATTTAAATAGTGTATGCACGTGATCAATGGAAATTAAAATTCGTTTCAAGCTGAGAGCTCATTCTCCTTTTTATTTAACTTTAGTTAAAAAAAGACAGAACACTGTTGGCATTTAACCGAATCGGACGATAAAATGACATTTAGGTTGGCACTCATGGGTTATGTTGCCAAATATTGCTGCTTTTTTTTCGCGCAGCTATTTTGTTGCGAGCGTTCGTTTTAATTGTTTTTTTATGGAAATCACTTACAAAAAGTTATTTTTTGAAGGCTTGAAATAAACGTTTTTAGGCGTGATACCCGAAAAAAAATTCTTCCTACTGCGACGAGCCTTGATCATTATGAAACCCACCCCCCCCCCCCCCAAATAAGAAACCTGGGTGCGCCACTGCCGACCGGTACGTTGTGATTTCTGGGTTAGAATGAGATGTTATTCCCTGCGATTACCACATGACTCTCAGCTATTGCCAATGGATTTTTATGTGATTCCCATTGAGTCCTAGAAGATTTCTAGCGATTCTCAGGTTATTTCCAGGGTTTTCCAAGCGATTCCCATGTATTTCTGATTTGTGATTCACAAAGAAAATTACAATGATTTCCACTGGTGGTTTATCACTCGATAAAATCCAAAATGACATCAATTTTCAATTTAACAGTGTAAATAAATATATTATCAGAAGTAGTGAATACCCAGTAAACACAGCTACACAAATTGTGTAGCTGTAACTACTTTACCTAATTATACACAGTGTGTAAAAAGTCCCGGAACAGTCAATTATTTTGAAAATAGTGCACAATATAAAAAAACTTCCTGTATAAAAGTTGAAGGTCTTAATAAAATCTATTGAAATAGGACTTATGTATTTATACAGGGTGGCCCAAAAAGTTGTGCTACACAAAACTTCATTTTTTTTTTTTAATGGAATGATCCTTTTTTAATTACATTTTCTAATTCCTCTAGAGATTCTAAACAAAAATTATGAAACATGTCATATGGCTAAACTCATTAGTTTCAGAAATAATTTGAGTTGAAAGACATAAATACGATAAGTACGATATTACCTAAATTTTGCATTGTTTCGAACTGGTTCAAAATGGTAACCAGACCTAACGCCCCTTGATTATTTTCTTTGGGGACATCTGAAAAATAAACTGTTTGTGACAAAACTTCCAGATCTGAACGAATTGAGAAGAAGAATTATTGAAGAATGTGCATCTATTAACCAAGAAATGTTACAAAACGTTATCAATAAATTTTATCATAACCTAGCCCATTGTCAAACTGTGGGAGGAGGACATTTTCAGCATTTAATAAAATAACTTCTTACACTTAATTTTATTTCTGTTCTTTCAAAGTTATTGTTAATTTTACTTTACTGCTTGTATTTAATAATTTAGTTATTAATAAGATTTTGACTAAACTTGAGTGAGGTACATTTCATTTAACACAAGTTAAATGTTTTTTTTTTTCAGGATTTAACATGAAACATTTTGAACCAACTCGAAACAATGCAAAATGTAGGTAATATCGTACTTATCGTATTCATGTCCTTCAACTCAAATTATTTCTGAAACTAATGGGTTTAGCCATATGACATGTTTCATAATTGTTGTTAGGAATCTCTAGAGGAATTAGAAAATGTAATTAAAAAAGGAACATTTCATTTAAAAAAAATGAAGTTTTGTGTAGCACAACTTTTTGGGCCACCCTGTATAATTACAAAAGTCCTATTTCAATAGATTTTATTAAGACCTTCAACTTTTATACAGGAAGTTTTTTTATATTGTGCACCATTTTCGAAATAATTGACTGTTCCGGGACTTTTTATACACTGAATTTTTAAGTTTTTTTGCGTCATGCTCAAGTAGATGTAAAATTTATATCACATTGATTTTGATTATCGGACATTGTTTCAAAACATCTATATTGTCAGCTTTCGAAATTTGTCTGATTCAAGATCTAAGATTTTTTGTCTCTAAAAATCACTCAAGTTCACTCGACTTTAAATCATCCAAAACTGTCAAAATAATGACGTGTGATATCTGTCAATTTTTCTAGGAATTCGTTAGACATTGAGTATTTAAATTTAATTTTGACAACTTTCGACGGATTTTTGTCTCTAAAAATCACTCAAATTATTAAGTTCACTTGACTTTAAATTATCCAAAACTGTCAAAAATAATGACGTGTGATATCTGTCAAATTTTTTAGGAATTCGTTAGGCATCGAGTAATAAAATTTAACTTTGATAGCTTTCGAAATTTGCCTGATTGGAGATCTAGGATTTTTTGTCTCTAAAAATCACTCAAAATTATCAAGTTCACTCGACTTTAAATTATCCAAAACTGTCAAAATAATGACGAGTAATATCTGTCAATGTTTCTATACGTGCATATATTTACATATTCTTAATTAAAATCAAATGCTCTTTAAGATAAAACAACATTGAATCATTTATCTGAAAGAGTTTTCGAGATGTTGAGCCTCAAAGTTAAAACTTTGTCTCAAATTTTGGAAAACCTTCAATGCCGATTATCTTGAAAACGAAGCCCTAGCGCACGGTGCCCCAAATAACCTTTCTTGAAGCCCCAATCGAGATCTACAATTGGACAAAATTTTGAACCGATAGACACTGCTCTGGTTCGTACTTGACCCTAGAATAGTCAGAGATCAATACTTCATATTATCTAGCACTTTAGCTCTGGGAGAGCCTGGTATAAAATTTCAAGCTTCTTCGGTTCAAAACAGGTTGAAGAATGGGCTTTTTAAACTGCTCTAGTTCAAATTTAACTTCAGAATAATCAGAGGTCAATACTCTATACTTATTTAGTTCAATTTGACGCTAAAAGGGCCGGGAATAGAATTTTCATGCTTTTCTAGTTTAAACTTTAGCTCTAAGAGAGCCGGGAATAAAATTTCAAACTTATCCAATTCAAAAGAGTTTTTAGCTCTAGAACATGATGAGCAATAGATTTCAATCTATAAAATTCTAGAAATTTGATTCTAAAAATATTTTTTAGAGTTTGTTTTATACAAGAAACTCTAATTTATTAATTCTACACCTTTAACAACAGTATTTAAGAAAGTGTCACTTGTATTTTAGAATAAGCATTTGCATTTCAGAAAAGCCCATATGTATTTTAGAATGAAGCAAGTGTATTTAATAGAAACACCATATGAATTTTAGAAACAATCATTTCAATATTTGAGAAACGATAAATTGAATTTTAGATTACATGTAAGTATATGTATAAATACTTACAGAGATGGACATCTCTTGTCGCTTTGGCATAAGAGGGGAATTTTAATAAAGAAATTAGCCAGTTTAGATGTAGAGAAATACTACATAATTCTTAACTACGATTGGAACTTTCTTAAATACATGGTTTGATCTAAAATAGAGATGACGGTTTCCCAAGTTAACTTGGTAATTCAAAAATTTATTTGCTGCTTTCTTAAATTAATTTAGTTTTTTTAAACTACATATGAAGCATTCCCAAATTTAAGTGGTTATTCCAAAATACTAATGATGCTTTCTTCAATATAATTATTTGTATGGGGATATCTTAAATACAAATGACTATTCTGAAATACAATTGAAGATTTCCTAAATATAGTCGGAAGGTTTGAGTCACTCTGTGACACCCAAAAATATTTTTGGTACGCTCTAATATTCTTAGAGTTGTCATATAGTCAAGCAAATTTAACCCAAGCGGAATTATTTTGCACAGTTGAAATTCTTAATATTTTGATCAGGAACACAAGAACATGGGAAGATAAGTTTTTGAACTTTTTTCACATTTCTTTTATGCTTCAATTGAATTTTCAATATCGATAACCTTCTTTTCTCTAAACTCTAACTAATTTCTGAGTTGTTAAAAATCTATCCCCTATAACTCATACCATAACACAAAACAATACTTACTCCTCTATAAATCCGAAAACTAATCCACAACAACCGAAAGCACTACTAAAAGTACAAACATCATTCAATAGAAAAACCAAATTATACAAAAACACAGTCCATCACAATCTAATAACACAAATAATTAAATTCTAATAATTTCACTAAAAAAAAATTGACGCAAAACCGCAACTGGGTCTCGTGGCTGAAGTCGAAATGCGAAGCTCTGGGTTGATTTTTTCACGCTAGACGGAATCCACCTGCTTCCACTTCTGTGTGCACTCATTGAAAAGTTTCTTTCCCTCACTTGTTTTGAAAAAAAAGGCAATTTTTCCGTCTTAATCAGGGGGCCGTTACTAATTAATGTAAGAGAATTTTCTTTTTGATTTAATGGGGTATGAAATAAAGGAAGTAGGTAACCCCTAGAAGTATGGGAACGAGAAAATTCAAATTATTGTTGTTCTCACATTATTATAAAAATAACTACTTTTTTATCTCTTGTGTGTTATAATTTTGATTTTCTGGCTAGTTTGGACAAACACATGTCTAATGAATCATTGAAAACTTCGACCATTTGATCCAGTGAAAAACACCAACAAGAAAAATTCATGTGAAACAACTTTGAAAAACTGAATTGAAAAAAAATGCACTCTTTCACATTTTGATATTTTTCTAGAAAATTACGTGAAGAAAAATTTTTGAATTTTTCAAGTAAAAAGAGAAAAGTTAGGAGCTCAACCTCACTTCAAGGAGCCCTTTGTAAGTATAAATACAGACACAGGAAATTCTATAGTTACCGGATACATACAACATTACAACGAATCAGGCTTGTTTTAAAAGGGGGACTTGAACCCTTGTTTAGTAGAAAATTTACAGTCACGAATAATTGTGTACATACTGTCAAGAAGTGTATTTGAAATCGAAATTTATTAATGATTAGCAAAAGAAACTATATTAAAATGAAAGTCTATTATTACAACAATAAGAAAAAAACTTACAAATATGATGGCGTAAAATGCAACAAACACCTGGTTGCTCTTAACCTGAATATTTTTACTCTCGATTTATTTAAATTATTATGATATCCGGAGATTGATAGTAGTTATTAATTCATAATTTCTAATGGTTTTTTAACAAAAAAGTACTAAAATGCAAGTGTGCCAATTTTACTCTTGTTTTTATCACAAAAATAATGAGCAATGTAGAAAGTGAATATAATTTGATTAGATAGACTTTTAAAAAAAATTGTTTTATGAATGTAAATTTAAAATCAGTACCTTGGTAATTCTGTTCATTTATTTATTTATTATTATTGTTGTTTTGTTGCAACTAGAAAATTGGATTGCTCCGTCGGTCACGTCTGGTAAATATTAGAATAAGATGAAGAGAAAAAAGTGTTGTCCAAAGTAATTTCTACAAATTCATAAATTCAGGTTTAGAGGAAAAAAGCTTCTGAAGCAACTTGAACATTGAATTTAACATATAAGAAAAAGATAGTACTTGATGAAGAGGAAAATAAATAAATAAAAGCAACTACAAAAAATTCAAAAGCTACAGAAAACTTTGTAGAAGAAGAAAACAAATATGAAGATGGAAAAAAATTGATGCAGAGAGAAAATAGAGGCAGCTATAACAATCTTTCACCCTTTGTAACCTTTACTTCGACCTTTTGAAAAAAAATATAAAAGTTTTAAGATGCGTCAAACAAACATTATTTTCTGAATTATGTAGGTACCTACTTGAAAAGAAATGACTCTCGCTCAAATTTATTGTGTTGATTACCTACCAATTATTGCTTTTAGCTTTACGAATGTTATATTTTTCATATACACGCCTTAGGCAACGTGACTTGAACGCGTCGCCATGACGTTTATCCAAAATTGCTCGGGTCACGTTGCATCCGATGTGGATTTTGCAACAGGAAAAATTTATTCCGTGGGTTTAGTGTTGAAAATTCGTATTTTATGAACACATTATTTAGTGTATGTATTATTTTTTTTGGTAAATTACGCGATAGTTGTTGATTTTTGTGATTTAGAACTATCGCAGTAGTGTCGTTGGTTAGTGTTAAGACTGGTAAGTTGTTAATGTCAAGGCTACAGGCAAAGGTTCATTTTTTTTTAGTTCAATTTAGTGAAAAACAGGTTGAAAATCTAAAGAAAAAAAATTCAGTTTACCTATTTGTGCTCTCCTATTCTGTTGAGAATTCGAAATGTCTCATAAAAATAATAATTTCAGAATGTCAAATAGCCCAAGTAAGCAATTTTAGCATTAGCACTAAATAATCGATCATACATATACAATATGTAGGTATTTTCTTACATTTGAAAAAACAATGTCACCAATAAATAGTTCTTGAAAGTTGATATTTTTCAATATCACGAATCTCTGTTCGAATTTCATAATAATAAGGATCACGTTGATAAAAAAACAATTATTAGATTTATTCAAATAAACGAAAGCAGTTAGGACATTTTCGCTAATTTTTTCGAATCTATTCAAAAATGATGTTGCCGTCTCTGTCTTATTGTCCATTGGCTTTTGGCTATACTACGGAATTACGTCACTTAGTATATGTATTAGTCTTTTTACTCTTGTAACTTTGTTGTTAATTTTGAAGATATCCAAAAATATCTTGTGACTGTCAAGTTGAGAAAAACTTCTACTTCTAAAAGCCTCTTCTTTAGGTCCGTAGTTGCTCTATTTTCAAATTCATAGTCAAAATGACGTTTGATATTTCTCCGTCTTTTCCACATATTTAGTCAAAAACGATATATAGGGAGGTCCAAAAAAAACCGGAATTTTGTTTTTGAGCTGTAATTTTTTTATTTGTTGACCAATTTTTTTTTGTTTTGGCTTGTTTGAAAGAGAAATGAACAGGCTAACGAATCAGAGTGAAACTTTTGACATTTGAGAAAAATCCAAAATGGCGGACTCCTTCAAAAATTGCCTAGTTTTGGATAGCGCTGGAACTTTTTTGTGACACCCGGTATAAGTTTTTTTAATAAATTCTTAAAGTTCATTATTTTGCAAACATTTTAAGACCCTGACAGAAAAAATCGGTTAAAAACTAAGTGAAATATTGAATTTTTTGTAATATCGAATTTCAATTTTTTATGATGACAGCAATATCTAAGATATGCTATTTCAGCTAGATTTTTTTTTTCTACTCGACATATTTTTTCTATTTCGGACTTGTTCGAAAGATAAATAGATAGGATAAGGATTCGAAATGAAGAATTTGACTGTTGAGAAAAAATTAAAGATTTCCCAGTTCCTTTAACATAGCCAATTTTGAAAAAGTTAATGATAAGTTTTCTAACAATACGACTAATATTTTTATTTATAAAGTTAAAAAAATAAGGTAATATGCTCTCCGTGGGCCTCAACAACCCATGCTAAACGTCTACGCCAAGAATCGATAGAATTGGCAATGTTACGTTGTTCCAGCAGTTCTCCCCAACACTCAATGATTCGGTTGCGCAGCTCTCCTAAATTATTGAATGTAGCCCCATTTTCGTGGACTTTCTCTCCCAAATCCCCTCATAAAAAGTAATCGCAGGAATTCAAATCTGGGCTATCAGGCGGCCAGTCAACAGGCTGTATAAAATCCGCAAGTTGCTCTCTTAGATAGTTGATATACGAACGAACAGTATTTATCACTTTTAGATATCTCATAAAAAGAGAAATACAAAAACTTACAATTTTATCAAAGTTTTTGTGAGAACCAAAATCTGAACAATAAATGTTAACTAGGTGAGTTATAAAATTACCTGCATAAAAGTGTAGTCTTGAGGTGTGAGCTGTTCAATTTCGGATAAAGGTTCCTAAAGTTAACAGGTTGTCTGGTAATGGGTAACTTGATGACGCATCTAGAGTGCCATATGGAGATTTGCATTATGTTCAGGCATTCAGATGACGTCATAAAAGTTATCAGGCAATCTACCTCTCTCAAACAACCTTGATTTCGGATAGCAATTGGCGAACAGAAGCTGACAATACTTGCGTGAATCCAAGCGAACTCCTTGGTCGATAACAATTAGTTGTGCTTTGTGGCTTCGAGAAATTGCTGCAGATAGATACCACTAAATAACTGCTGAATTTTTCTCTTCCTTTATCTGCTTTTCGAGCTTGGAGGGAAATTCGTAGTTGGTCGTTTTGCGAATTCTTTACTCCGGATAAGGTGAAAATTTTCCTATCACTGGACCAGATTTTTCGGATTTCAGCACGGGCACTAAATCTATTAAGTAGGATAGTTCAAATGTTTAACATGCTTCAGCATTAAATCACTGTCAACTATCTAAGAGAGCAAGTTGCGAATTTTATAGAGCGGCCAGTCAACGGGACTGGCTGCTGGCCGCCTTATAGCCCAGATTTGAATCCCTACGATTACTTTTTATAGGGTGATATAAGGCGGAAGAAAAAGTCCACGGAAGTGGGGCTACGTTCAATAATTTAGAAGAGCTGCGCAACCGAATCATTGAGTGTTGTGGAGAACTGTTGGAACAATGTAACATTGCCAATTTTATCGATTCTTGGCGTAGACGTTTAGCATAGGTTGTTGAGACCCAAGGAGGGCATATCGCTCCTTAAATGTGTTTACTTTATTTTTTAAAATTTATAAATTAAAATATTGGTCGTATTGTAAGAAAACTTAACGCTATTTTTTTCAAAATTAGCTATGTTGAAGGAACTGGGAAATCTTTAATTTTTTCTCAACCAGTCAAAATCTTCATTTCGAATCCGTACCCTATCTATTTATCTTCCGAACAAGCCCGAAATAGAAAGAATATGTCGAGTAGAAAAAAAAATATAGCTGAAATAGCATATCCCAGATTTTGCTGTCAATATAAAAAATTTAAATTCGATATTACAAACAATTCAATATTTCACTTAGTTTCCAACCGATTTTTTCTGTCGAGGTCTTAAAATGTTCGCAAAATGATGAACTTTCAGAATTTATTTAAAAAACTTATACAGGGTGTCACAAAAAAGTTCCAGCGCTATCCAAAAATAGGCAATTTTTGAAGGAGTCCGCCATTTTGGATTTTTTTCAAATCCATCAAAAGTTTTACCTTGATCCGTTAGTCTATTCATTTCTCTTTCAAACAAGCCAAAACAAAAGAAAATTGGTCAACAAATAAAAAAGTTACAGCTCAAAAACAAAATTCCGGTTTTTTTTGGACCACCCTATATTTTAGAAAAATCAAATGTACCGGGTGATTGTCCATATTTTGCATCTACACCTACCTATTTCACCTGCTTGCAGAGGCGCCGACTTTTGAAAATCCTCATGGGTGCAGGATAATAACTTTATAAATTTGCCTATAGGGGGGGGGGGGAAAGCTCGCCGCAGACGCCGCCGGAGGCGGAAAATTTTTTCCGAATGCCACGTCTATTTTATAGTGTTTTTCTATTTTTTTCTACGAGCGCGCGAAAAGTGCTTTTTTCTGCACGCATCTTAGGCCATGAAAATATCACTTATGCAATGTTAATTTTTTTCTACGAGCGCGCGAAAAGTGCTTTTTTTCTGCACGCATCTTAGGCCATGAAAATATCACTTATGCAATGTTAGGTTAGGTCACCCTGCCTGGTACTCTCTTGTCCTAAATGAGCGCGGAATTGTTATTTATTATACAAGGAAAAAAATTACTAGATTTTTAGCGCTAAAATCTCACTTTTTTCCGTCTATAATACACTATTTTTTTCTGTGACGGGAAAATCTCACCATTTTCCATCTATACTAACATTTTTTTTTCTGTGACCGTACTTATACTTATACTTTTCTCCGTTCGAGAAAAAAATTTGACTGGTACCTGTTACTTTTTTCCCGTGGAAGAAAAAGTGACATTTTTGCCACTGTCAAAGGTACAAAAAGTCTATTTTTTTCCCGTCACAGAAAAAAAGTAATTTTCCGCACGGTAGTAAAAAAATAACGTTTCTTAATTAATCATACGGAAAGTCTCTTTCTTTCATTTTATTGCTAGGCACACGCACCGCTCTAACTGACTTACTGACTGACTAACTGTTTTATTTTAGCCGCCTCTGTCAACTGTCAGGCTGTCTCTGTCATTTGTCAACCAATAAACTATGCGTACGAACGAAGATATTATTAGAGAGATATCGGTAAAACAGATAGCGCGTATGGACGGTAATAACGTCAGGAGTTATTTTTTTAAAGTAAAGCGGTATCATACTTTCAAATTAGAGTTATCGGTAAACAGTTTAACGTAAAATTTGCCTGTTCGCATACGTTATTTTATAACCGTAGCCTAACTTGTACCTTGCTGTGATTTGATTTGTGTTGTCTGTTGTTCATACCTAGTCAGGGACAGAGGATTTGCTTTTTTACCATTTTTTGAACAATCCATATTCACTTGAACACAACAAAAATAATAAAATAAACATAACATAACCTATTATTCGACGGCGTTATTTTTAGACGTTATTCGAAATAGCGCTTAACGTAAATGCTGGGTAAATTACGTTATGCGGTAACGTTATTTTAGTACGTAGTGTTAAATATCGAATCGCGCATAGATTTAATAGAGAGATATCGGTAATCCAAATAGTGTCATGCAGTATTAGCGCCTACGTTATTTTGACATTAAACCTATGCGCGATTCGATTTTTAACACTACGTACTAAAATAACGTTACCGCATAACGTAATTTACCCAGCATTTACGTTCAGCGCTATTTCGAATAACGTCTAAAAATAACGCCGTGGAATAATAGGTTATGTTATGTTTATTGTTTATTTTATTATTTTTGTTGTGTTCAAGTGAATATGGATTGTTCAAAAAATAGTAAAAAAGCAAATCCTCTGTCCCTGACCATGAACAACAGATAACACAAATCAAATCACAACAAGGTACAAGTTGTGCAAAACCACATAATGGAAGATAAATAACTTGATAATTAGTGGACTGTATAATTAGGTGGACTGGATGATCGACTGGATAGGGAACTAAAACACACGCGCTTTTCACTGACACTATATTTACAACAATTTACACAATATTTACACTATTTACAATTACTACTACAAGATGACAAGAAGCCAGAGCTTGCTTA